TAAAAAAAAAAAAAAAAAAAAAAAAAAAAAAAAACAAGATGATTTTTTGGAAGAAATTAGATTATTTAAAATTGATCATTTTTTGATAATGAAAATAAGATTTGCAAAATTTTCATAATTTTAAACAAAAAACATATAAAAGCGGAAAGGATTTTTTATAGATCCTGATAAGTGCAGTTGTAATGCTGGCGGTGGCATTCTGCTGGGCAATGAGCACACAGTTCACGAAAACTGCATTGGTGCTGAAGAAGAGTCAATTTTATGCACCGTACTTCTTGGTTTGGTTCAATACAAACTTCATGACTCTCTGCTATCCAGCGTATTTACTCATGGGAGCAGTTTCTAGCCGCACGAGCATATCGGATATTCACCAGTAAGCATTAACTTAATTTTTTCGCACGATTTATAAATAATTTATTTATAAATAATAACATTATGGGACACTGCACGCAATTATAATGTAACAACAATAACGACAACAACAATAGTAAAAAATAATGGTAATGATAAATTAATAATAGTGGTAATAATAATTATTATTATAGCAATGATAATAGTTAAAATGATAATAATATTAATCGTAATTTAACTCTAACGGCAGTAGTAGTAGCAGCATCACCAACAACAACTTTAATAATAATAATAATAATATGGATTTTTAATTCATTCTATTTTCTAATTTTTAATTTACTTGTACTCAGAGCTAGTAAAAATTTCAGTGTATGTATAAACACGAATAGATCTTGATTAAAAATTGTATGTGCGTTTCCTAGAAAACAAGATTTAGTGCCACTACCCCTTCAAATCGCTCATGTGCTGCTTTCAGTGAAGCTTTGTTGGTTTACGGAAAGCAGCCAGGAAAAGGTGGCCTGGTTTGTGCATATTTCTTGCGAACATCTCTGTTTCTGTTCTTCTGGCTTGTTGCAAATTATTCGTATGCGCAATCGCTGGGCCATATCTCGGCCAGTGCAACATCCTCAATTATGAGTTGCAATACGGCTATAGTGTGCGTTCTTGGATGGTTTATTCTGCATGACCAATTCATTCCATTTCGGGTTTGTTACATTTCTCGTGCCAAAACTAATTTGAATTGATATCGAAAAACTATCGCCCTGTGTTGCCCAGTTTATCAGTTGAGTACTATGCAGGCACTCGATTTTTCTTATCTTTTATCTTTCGTTCTTCCCGCATGACCAGCCCAGCTTCTTCTGGCATACACCTTCCTTATCATCTCTTTCGCACCAAAACGCTACCGTTACACACTGAGTACACATAAAACACATCGCTAATTTAGCACCGCAGTGAGTCAGTGCTATTTAAATTTTCTTAATTGTTTGTCGCTCCCGGTTTCGGTTCTGTTATGAAGCACCGAGTGAGGAGGCAGGAAGATATGAGCAGAAGAAAAAGGCGAGTTAAGGAAGCTCAAACACAGCATCGAATACCTAAATAGCTACATTGTGATTCTTATCATTGATTCTTATTGGCATTATCAGTTTGTTAAGGGAATTACCTGTTCCCTCCGTATTTTAGCTAGTCTCAGTGGCAGCAGCAATTGGCGGTGTTGTTGTGATGTCAATGGATAAGGAATTCGCCGGAAGCATTCTTGGTATATCGCTATCTATACTGTCTGCCTTATCTGCTGCGCTATATAAGGTTCCTTCTGTTTGATCATTCATTTTGAGCTGATGTTTGTCTAGTCGGATACGGAAAGAAAATATGAAAAGCTACAGTGTTCTTTCAGTTTCTTCTGTCTCAACTAACACAGTCTTAGAAACAATGTGTTAATTTGAAGGATCACAGACATGTCTGTAATTATTTTGACATTTTGACAAGCTTTATTTCATCGTTGCGCGCGTTTACATCATCAATGCAACTGGCAACTAAGGATGATAAATCACTTGATGGTCAGCCTGCTGATAATTCTGGCATTCGTTTTTCTGCCTTCTTTATTTATACCTTAGAGAAATCCTGAAGGATCTAAATATGCATTCATAAATTTTGTATGATAAATCTAACGAACGGTATAAAATCCAAATAAAAAGAGGGGTCCAGACTAGCTGTTAGGTCCAGTGGTCCTACCTTAAGTAACAAACTGACAGGGAAAGAATAGGAGGCTCGAATGGAGTACTTTTTGTCCTATTTTTGTACTTATCCAAATGAGCAACCATCGCTCTAGGAACCGTAAAGCATATACAGCTCGGTAAATATGATAGTCGTGTTAAGCTGGTGTTTTATCTAATAAGCATTGATACGACTCACTTATTAAGCATGCGTTTGGATAGAGTATAGGATAGATACACTAATTTACAATGCTTCTGAAAAGTGCCCGTAGGCTATTTATAGCGAGGCTATTTATAGCGTCCACAGCATTCATCGCCAAAGTAAGCAGAAAACAACGTCCCTTAAGCAGTCACATTTATCCCATAATTAATTTTTTTCCAAACCCTCTTTAGGTTCTTTTCAAAAAAGTGGTCGGCAGTGCGAAGATCGGTCAGGTGGCAATGTTCATGAGCGGACTCGGTATGATGAACCTTTTCTTCAATTCGGTACCCATGGTTACATTCTTGTGCACGCACGTTGAGACATTTATGTGGTCAGAAGTACCTTGGCTTCCTCTGCTTGGCGCTGCAATCTTGGCTTTATGTAAGTGCTCAGTGCACTTTTTTTTACCTAAACTTGCTATCAAAGTTTAATGAACTTACGTACTTGAAATGCTGATAATTGGATGGTAAAATATCTGTGACATTCCCTTACTATTTTTTTATATTTTCAAAAATTTTTTTTATTGTAACTATACCGCTTCTTGACCCCTAGATTTTTCGAATTCACTAAGTTTGCTTTCAATTACCACATTCCTGCGCCTTCTTGCCGAATTCATTTTGTTGCATTTTTTGATATACCCACGTTCTCTGAATTCCACTAGCAAAGCGTGTGGAAATTTTTCAAAAAAATAATTTAAATCTCCAGAAACTTCGACTTCTGCCCAGCCTCTGTTG